CTCTTCCTTTTGTTTTCCTCGCGAGATCGGAGGTAGTCATTTCGATTCAGTTGTTCGTGTTATTGTTGTTAATACTGCTTTTGTTGTTTAGTTTTGTTCTTTTAACTTTTCTTTTCTCTTCTTTTTATCTTTGACATTTGTTTGGTCTTCTTATTTTTCCTGTTTTTTTTTATCTTTTCTTCATCTTCCTCTCTCTCTCTCTCTCTCTCTCTCTCTCTCTCTCTCTCTCTCTCTTTCTCTCTCTCTCTCTCTCTTCTTTGCCTTCTTCCTCTTTCATATCTCTTCGGGTTTCACAAGATGCCGAAAGACGGCATTCGTATTTTTCCCTTTTCCTATTTTTTTCATCACTGTATCTTTTTCCTTTCCTTCTTCTCCTTCTCCTTCCCGTCTGTTTGCCCTTCGCGAGATCGGCGACGTTTTCCATTAGTCTGTGCCGGAATCGCAATTTCCTCTGCGGTTCAATATCTAGCTTGTTGCCGAGCGATCTTCGGCCCCAACGTCGGCGCGGCACCGGCTGTTCCTGCGCCGAAAGAGGAAGAAAGTTGTGCCGATGCCTGGCTCGTTTGCGGTAATTTTCCGGTAATCTGGTGTAAGGCTTGGGGCTGGATCGCAGAGGTGCTCATGCGCGAACGCATACACATGGATGTATAAGCGCAAGTGTGCACATACTGAGGCACTCACACATGCACACATACACACACGCATCACACCTCAGGGTAATGGGTGATGTTAATGAACTTTCTTAACATTTACCTCATTTGTAATTGCATTTGAAGAATTTGACAGAACTAAATAGTGTTGATCCTTTACAAATGATACCGATATTAATAGAAATATATTGTCTTTATTTGTGATGATTTTTTAACACACACAAACGCTAACACGCACACAGACGTGTATGTATATATATATATATATATATATATATATATATATATATATATATATATTTATATATATATATATATTCATTTATATGTATATATATGTGTATATATATATATGTATATATATATATATATATTTACATATTTACATATCTATCTACCTATACATGTATAAGTATGTATATATACATACACATACACACACACACGCACACACACACACAACACACACACACACACACACACACACATATATATATATATATATATATATATATATATATAT